GATATGTAGCAGCTGCCGATCCCGATGTGCCTGAGGACCCGCAACCAAAAAACATAACCAACGATCAAATACCGCCGGCACGCCAACGAGGACCACGTCCGTGTCCTCACGTATCCACAGACGCCACTGAGACCCTGACTGCGGCCCGTCCCCAAGCTGGACCAGACGGGCCAACGATATAGCACCATCATCCAGTAGGGCCTGCCCCCCAGCAGGGCCAGACAGGCCATCAGCTCTCACTGCCCAGTTGGCACGACCACCATCTCGCCATGCAGTGCCAGCGAAGGTAGCCACAACAACTCCATCCAGGTAGTGCCCACCAACCAAACGTCACAGGGGCAGACCGCCCCCACATCATAGTAGCGTGAAACCGATGTCCAAGGCCCGATCCCAGCAGAAGGCAAGCGCACCTATCACCAACAGGCGGCCAGAACACCCTCATGGGTCGCATCTGCTGGGAAAGGAGCCATGAGAGGCAAGCGCACCTGTCGCTAACAAGTGGCCGGAACACCCTCTCGGGTCGCTCTCATGCCCCCAGACCTTCGGGGAGGCAGGCGCAGCCGTCACAGACAGCTGGCCAGAACACCCTCTCGGGTCGCTCCCCTTAGGCCCATTGGGCAAGAAACCTGGCCTTCGGAGAGGCAAGCGCAGTCGTCGCCAACGACTGGCCAGAACACCCTCACGGGTCGCTCTCCTGGGGCCAGTGCGTACACGCAGAAGACGTCCATTCGGCCGCCGCAACAAATACTTTTGCCAACCTTCCTTGGGGAACAGTGGGCAAGGTGAGCTTGACGTTGTCCTTGGAGTGCATACCCTTCAACAGGCACCCTCTTCTCGAGTCAATATTCGAAAAGAACGTTGTGCCCTTGCCTTCGCCACTCGGTATACCACAACACTCCGCCAATAATTGCTTGGATGCACCTCCCGCTGACCAGGCAACACAAACCTCCCAGAACACCGTGGGCCCTGCACGTCGGAGGTGATGCCCGTTGCATTGAATGACTTCAGCTCCTGCCCACTCAGACACTAGAACTTCGCCGACGTCGCCAGCGTCCTCGGGAATGACAGCCGCGTCCAGCGCCTCCATCACGAACCTGCCCGTCTCGGAGACCTGAAATGCTGTGCCGCCACCGAATTTCACCATAGCCTCAGCCCTTAGAGCATCGATGCGCGACGGCTGCCACGGCGTTCTGAGACATAGGTTCCAGGACGCCTTTGAGTTGCCTGCTGTACGTCTGGCGCATTGTCTGCATGCGAAAGAGCCATCCGATAACTTCGCAACCTCATGCGGGGTCACCTGCACAGGCATGCTGCGTGCCCCCCACTGGCTTGGGTATCACATCTTGGTACTCAGGTTCCACTTGCCAATGCGCATGGTACGCTGCATCACCCAACCAATGTAGGCCGACGCGCGCTTGGCGAAATTCACCTCGAGCTTGTAGCACTCCTCAAAGACCTCCGACGCCGCATGTACCTCAGCTCCTCGTCGAGAGAACCAGTCAGCCCACATATTGCCCAAGTAGAGCAGCGGGCTTAGGCCTTTGTCGAGGTGGTTGTCCACGTCCTTGTGCGCAGGAATCCAGATGACTGTGGGTCTGACTGACTGCGACCTGAGACTGCGCCAAATCGTAGCATGGACCGCCGAAGCTGACTCCAACTCAGGGCCCCCGGAATTCGCCTCCACCTCCAGCGCAAGCAGGTCCGTGAAAACGTATTGCAGGTTGGGCCCAAAGAACTTGGTGGCCACCAGCAGCGCATGTCTCTCTGATCTCCCAACCGTCTGCAGCGGCCCAGGTAACGGGCCAAAAGCAGCTCTGATCGGAATGCCCTGCCTGGCGAACGGCACCACGGCCCAGCCACGCTCAGGAATGGAGGGGGCTAGGCCTGAGCCGTCCGTGAAGACAGCATTCCCAAAGAGCTCCTGTGGCGTGGTCCAGTCGCCCCAGAAGTGCACTGAGAGTCCACCTTTCACCTTTGGAAGCGTAGGCGGCGTACATGGCAGGCGCGCCCCCAGCTCGAACCCGTCCCAACTCGGGCCAGAGAGCTGCTGCATACCCTTGTCTCTCATGTGGGCATATAAGCCGGTGAACTTCTCAAGGAGCACGTTGCCCGCCTCCTCGGTGTCGTCCCCAAGGTCAAGGACGGGCTCGCAACCGAAGAACCTGTGACCAGGCGTGCCGCTATCACGCCCAAGTGCCAGACAGGCAGGCGACTTGACAAGCTGGAATTCGCACTTGGCCTGCCTCGTCCACGGTACGCCTGCCCAGTGAGCCCGTAAACTTGAAGCCTGCGGCCCTTCGCTGGCCGCAGAAGCTCTCGCACCAATGCGCTGCCTCAGAGCTCGGACCTACAGCTGTGCATGTTCGCCGTTGGGGTGCTGGAACCTCGATAAGATATGCTTGCCTTGCCGCCTCTCGATCGACTCAACCAGATGACACCGTAAATCTTTCGGCTTGACCGCCCATAGATTGAAGTGCTCCTCGCGGCCATGAGCCAGAATCGTAGACGAGCACATAAACCAATCAATACGCCAAAGAGACAAACATCGCAGAGGCTATAGGTCCCCTCGTTTCCCTCCAAGACGTCTTGCCCCCGCCAACCATCTTAGTGGTGATGGCTGCCCGCGCGTGATGGAGCTGACCGAGGGGGACTCGCTTGTCCCATACAGCCGCCGCGTACTGACAAACCAGGTCGCATGTGGCCATGTAGATGGGGTCGAATTCCTTGGCGCGCTGCGTGGCCAGGAAGAGGGTTAGACTGGAAGAGCCTGGTCTCGATCCGACAAGCCGACCTGTTTCGGCCCTCACTTGATTGAGATGCTGCTGACTGAGACCTGCAACGCCAGCCGCATGCCCAGCACTCGGAAGTATACCCGCCT